TGGCTGGTGGTTTTCAGGTCAGGCAGGGCTGTAATTGTGGGTGTGTGTCTGGCCTGGGTGCTGTGTCTGTGGAGAGGCAGCGCTGTTGGAGAGCCGTTCTGCCCACACTGAGGGTGGGGGAGCCCAGTTTACTGACTGCGGCCCCGGACACTGCTGCTAGACCATGAGGTCAGTGGCGTTCTCATGGTCACTGTTGGCCGGCTCAGTGACCTCACTCCTGCTGCCCACATAGAAACACTGAATCAGCTGCTGCCAGTATTCAAAGCAGCTTGTCACACTGGGCCACTGTTGGTCCCACAGAATGAGCTCCGTTTCCGGAACACCTGCAGCACTAAATAAGAACATTGGAGGTTACAAACGAGAGGCCCAGCTCTCCAGCTTAGTACTTAGTACTTAATTGATCTGAAGATGGGGCACAAGGAGACCCTAGGTAGAGTTCCTGGGGTGCTGTCTCTGATGGACTGGTGTCCTGTCCAGGGTGTGTGCGTGTCCTGTACTAGGTAAAGCATGACTTTGATCTTGACAGGCGTTTTTTTGGAAGATGCAGGGTATCAGCTTCATCCACATCTCCTGCTTGTGATAATATTTCATGGCTGTGTGCTTCTTCCTTCTGTGAGAAATGTCCAATGTATTATTGTATATTTGACCTTCCTGTGACTTCTGACCTCATTCACATGCCCAAGCCAAAATCTGCCTTATTCACATTTTTTTTTATAAATGAGAGATCCTGGAGTTATTAATCGCTGGCTTTTTGCGGAGGGCAAGGTGGAGCTGCACGCTGAGAGCACTGGGCTGTTCGCCCCTCCAGGAGAAGTTTACCCTCTATTACTAACCCACCACACTTCACCCTATCCCTTCCCGAACGCGCTCTCGGCCAGCTCCAGTTACTGCAGCAGGAAGACAGTTAATTACAGGAAGCTGTTTGAAGTCCCACAGGCTCCAGAGCCCGGCTGTGCCTTGAACGTGCACCCTGTCCTGGCACAGAGCCCTCGTCCCTCAGTCCCTCGGCAGTTACCGAAGGGCTGTTGGTGAGCCCTTCATCATTGCTCTCCCCTCTGGGCCAGTCCTGTAGGAGGTGCAGTCCTTCAGATCATACCTGATGTCCAGACTGCTTGCACATTAAAGGCCCTGTGACACTGTTGGTGAGAGTCAGGGTGTCAATCGTGGTGTCCTGGCCAAGCCCCTCTCTGACCTCAGCAGCTTCTCTCTGCTGCTCTGATCTGTGTGCAGTGGGGCAGTATGATATATGTGGGGCACTCAGGTGTCCTTCAGGATCCTTTGGGGTACAGGAGGAAAAACAGTCAAGTACAAGGGCCTACACCTTATCTGAACCCAGTTACACAGCCTGGGATCTCGCTGGAGAGTGTCCCCTAAGTGTGCTGGCGAGGGGTGTGTGTGGAGCTGTGCGGATCAGCCTTCAGGGAGCAGTGTGGAAGAGGTTGTCTCCGGTGTGTCTGGTGGAAACAGCCAGCCATCCCCTGCAGATCCCAGCTGGCAGCCCACTGGAGCTCAGCAGCTGTGGGCCTGGCCACAATGTGGATGGGAGACTCCTGGAAAAGCTAAGATTCCTGATGGAAGAGGTGTTAGAGGGATCAGTAGGGGGTCTGTTCCTCAGGCTGTGACAGATCACATACTGGGCTGCCAGTTCAAATGAGTTCCCTCCTCCCTCTCCCAGTAGGATTGGGAGCTTTTGTGATTCTGGCAGGTGTCGGAACTCTGGGATTTGTAAGATTTGTAAATTCTAGATTTGTAAATTTAGGGAAGAATGTGTCTCTAATCCCAGAGTATCTGTCACAGTGCAGTAGGAAGTGCACCTCTGTCTCTATTTCTCCCTGCTGGCAGTGGGAGCACATCCTGTCCTCTCTGGGCAGCCAGGTCTGCCTGTGTCGCCCAGTTTCTATGGCCAGGCTGTGGTCACTGAGCCTGTATTTCATCAGGGTCTGTTTCTTTTTGTTGTTTCTTATCTTGGTTAAATATTTGGCAAGTTTGTATTGTCTGTTTAAGGTTCTGTAGCATTCCAGTTTATGTTGTGTTTGTGTGTGTGTGTCCCAGTGTGTGAGATATTGCTGTTTGATCTGTGCTGTGATGTGCTTGTGTCTGAGTTGTGGTGCTCTAGCAGTGCTGTCCTGGGCTGGCTGGTGTCGGTGTGGCTCAGGTCAGTGAGCCTCGGGACCAGCTGGCTCAGGGGGCTCTGTTTTGGGCTCAGCAGGGCTTTGTGGTGGTAGGAATTTTGGTCACTGTTTTTTAGGTGTAGCCAATAGTTTAATTATCTTTTCTGTATGTTTATCAATAGTGGGTACTGGCCTAATTCGGCCCTGCACC